CCTTGGGAGAAGTGCCAAATCCCAAGACAAAATTGTTTGAAACAGTTAAAAAAAGCTGTGCTTGACCCTCTCTTTGCATCTAAAACAAGTATCTTTTAAGACATTGCTAAACAGGTCGCACCTCCCTTCTCAAACTGTACGAGATGGATAATTACTTGCTGCTGTTTTCATGTTTTTGTTGTATATACTCAATCATGTATCATTAATATATTTAAGTCAGATAACATGATGTATTATCTAGGTGGATACCTAAATGTAAAATTTTATTGATCAGTGTTCCCAACAGATGTTACTATTACAGTAGTATTTTTACTTTTACTGCTGCCAATAGTTGCACAAAACAAAATCTTAACATCAAGTATAAATATTTCTCATTTATCCCTGATGTTAAGTTTTTGGCAGCAGTATTGCCTAGTTTAAAAGAACATGCACACCAAAACATACTGTGATTTTTAATAGTTTACTTGCAATATAATCACGTTGGTTTAAAATTTATAGTCAAATGTTACTCTATCAGTACCTTCAAAAATACATACCAATGGTGATAGTACAAATGTTTTAAATGTTCTGTGGTATAAAAAAAAAATATATAAAATGTATGATTTAATAAAGTATTTCTTTGACATATTTGTCTCTGAATTTACATTAGTCAGTCTGAATGAGACCGAGTAATCTGAATGCAAGGTAATTTTTGTGTTAAGATTAAAAACAAATTTTTATTTTATAGTTTTCAGATTTCATTTGCATAATCTCTAGAACTTCCTAAATAATTATCCAAATTTTTTGTTCAGTAAAAGTCTATATTATTTCATCTGTTATTTTTTCTGTCTTAACATTATATAGACTGGGTTGATTTAACTTACTCATTATCCATTATAAAAAAAAAAAATCTAAATTATCCTTTTCTCTTTCTAGAATGACTGCAGATTGTAACTGGAAATTACAATTATTTATCCTAAATAGCTTAAGGCTCATAACAGTTTACATCTGTGTTTATTTAATTTTATTGTTTTATTGCTTTTTAAACCATGTCTGTCATCTAATCATATGGTACAACCTGTACTAAACAAGATGAATGCATGGTCCAGTTTATGGTATTGAACTAGTTACTCTTAAGCATACCTCAAGAATGAATGTTTTTTGTTTTTTTTAACTTGTAATGATAGTAGTAGTATTGCTACTACTAATGGGTTTAAATTTATGGTTTCTGTTTCCCCCAGGAAGATAGTTTAGATGCTATAAAATTAGATTTTTCCATAGTAATACCTATACCATATACTACATAATATATGTTAAACCCAGGACATGAAAAAGGGGTGGTTAGGAAGCAGACAAATATGCATTTCGGAGCAAACAGATGTCGTGTATAGCCAAGTGCAGTTTGAGAATTTATTAAACTACTTCCTGTTGAAATTAAGAAATTAACACTTATATTAAGATTTGGATTATAAACTATGTTTTGATTTCAAATTTTAAATCTAGTTCTGTAAAATATTGTGACAATCAAATGGGCACTTTGACCCACCCATATCGATAAGGTTATAAAATCTGGGTTTTGTGTGCAAAAGACTTGCAATGTTTACTGAAATTTGTCAAATTTTTTGAAGATACACAGAGAACATTCATTTCCTCGAAAGGGGGCCAAAGATTACCTGGAGAGGTCACCTGTTTTAACCACTTGCATGCCATGAATCACAAGAAGAATTATGCACTCTGTAGGCTACAACACAGCATGACAGCAGTAATGGTTTTACTTGATGAATTACAAAGGGACAACTATATGTTGTACAGAGTTGTACTTTTAAGTATATTTGACAATGAAAAATAGCCTACTCTCATCAAATGAAAGAAATTTAACTACTGAAAAACTTCACATGTTTACAATATAGAAAGTCATATAAGAAAGCATTATAAAAAATGTACTCTTATTCAAACTGTTTTTTTTTATTTGTATTATTTTAAGGCTTGATGGAATGCTTCTTAAAAAAAGATAGCTTAAAAGAAGCAACTTCAATACTGAAGCTTCTTAATATTGCCTTCACAGAATAGACTCATCACAAGGAATACTCCAAGATTTACATTGGATTTTCAGCAGAGGTAGCTGTTAGTCTGGTGAAAGTTGCTAAAACAACTGTTGAAACTACAAATTGACTGCAAATGTTGTTTTGGTAACAGTAGTCAATAAAATTCTGAAGAAGGCTCCTATCAAGTATCTCCATGTCCAAAATATGCAGTGTCTTGATTCACTTGAAGGTAATCAACAGGGAAGAATGTGTGCAGAAAATGAAGATAGTCCTGCATGTACTTGTTGCAGCAAACCACACCAAAGAATCTGTCTGTGATGATGTGCAGAGAGAGTACAGGGAGTTTTGCAACTATTCATTGTATACTGACAGTTTCCTAGATTTTGACTCCACATCATGTAGGCTTAATTTGATCTCCTTTTATATGAACATTTGAGTTTAAAGACTATCTATAAAACATCGTGGGGTGTACAGTCTTGCTTCTTTTGTCACCTGGTCGGGCTGGTTTTGAGAGAGGGTTCTCTGTAAATAAAGGATTGATTATGAAGAATCTCCAGAAGCAATCACTGTTGACAAATAGAGTTATTGCTGATCATGTTGAAATTGTTGGAAGAGTTAAAAATGTAGAAGTAACAAAAGAGAAAAAAAATTAGAGTAGAAGCTGATCTGAAGGTTTTACTACAGTCAGTAAATGAAAAATTGAAAGAGCTAATTAACTATCAACTTTGTCACCAAGTCAAAAAGTCAACACTGCCCATCTGAAGGAAGAGTGTCTATAGGACATTAAGAAACAAATTGAGGAGAGTCTCTTGGAAATAAAAATGAATCCCCTTGTACTGCTAATTCACAACATGTAGTAGTGCAAGAAAGTTTTGTTTCATCCCACTGGCAATGATATGGGAATGTAGTACAGGGGTACTCCAGCCCCAGAGTTGGGAACCTCTGGATTATAAGAGAAGCAACAGTTTGTGCTCCTGCTTTATGCTGCTTAATGAAGGAGTGTTTTTGCTTGAACTTTATATTTTGTGCTTGTTAAAGTATGCAGAAGTGCTTAACTCTAGTCTCTGCCTCCATTTCCATATTACATAGGATAGTTATTAGGATAAAATGCTCTACTACACTCACTTTTTTTTCCCTTATAATTTCTGCAGTTCCTTTATATAAAACTTTTATCAGCATAATTCATAATCACAATGTAAAAGTTCATGTTGAAAAGAAGAAATCTGTTTAACATGTTAACTGTTATGATACTTGGCATCATCTGTGGCAAATACTAAAAGTTTTTGTGAAATATCATTGTGTTTTCAGTTTAAACAATAGTAATAGTAACAATAAATCAAAAATATATAATTTCTATGTCTTTTTATTTATTTAAAACATACACTCAGCATTACACAAAGATTATAAGAGGTCAAATGCTGCAGATGCATGCATGCATCTAGAAATTTATTTAGATAAAATTTGTGGAAAAAATTTTATTCAAAGAAAAGAAAGTACATGTCATATGATGAATACATGAACATTTTTTGTGGTACAGTTTGAAGCATGGATCCATACAAAGTATTGATGATTTTGGATATGCTTCACAGTTATATATTGAATTTTTGCATTTTCACTGCACAATCTGCACTTTTATCTCATTGTTTTACCACATGGTCCAATTTAGTATGTTGTTTGCAAATGTTCAACATCTTTAGCTTTTTGTGATTTACTTGCAACTGGAGGTGGTAAAAGCTCCTTTATTACCACCTGACAAAAATCATACAATGTCATTTTGTTCCCAGAATATTGACTATACAAATAAAAGGAATTTAGCAGGATAATTTGTAATATACGACTCCAAGTTTTCTTATATCAACTGATGGTTTTTCTCAAGCAAGAATAATACAATAACATCTGATCTTGCCTGTTGATTCCACTGATATATCCATGGAAAGATGAAGTACGACACCTATACTTAATACTCACAGCCACATGGTGTGCTACCATCTTTGTGCATTTCAAACAGTGGTCAGAAATATTTACTATGTGGGGAAACATTTGTGAATGAATGCAGTGAACATGTTAAAAGGGTTTCATAAAACATTTTTTATATATCTTTCCTTGCATAGTTGTTTAGAATATTTTACTCAACATTTCATTCATCTTATACAAATAATTTTGCATAAAACTGAAAGTAAAGTTAATGGAAGTGCAATAGTTATTACTCTACCTACATTTAATTCGTTTACAACGTTTTAAGCAAGTATTTCTTTCATGATGTTTTATTGTTGTTGATGCATTGCTAAATGGATGTTTTTCACAATTGTTTCTAGATTAACTGTTACAGTATGGCTATTTTCTCAGAATATAGAACAAAATACTCAGCTGATCAGTAAGATAAAAAAATGTGGTGTGCAAGTCATGAAAATTTATTTAAATATTATGGAAAGTCTTGGAACTTTTTTACTCCAAAGGTGTATGGATTTTATAGTCAGCTAGTTGCCTTTGTTTTTGTTTTTTTAAGAAATTTTTTAGATACATTAAAGTATAATAGTTTGAGACTTTGCAAACAAATATTACATACAATTTCAGACTTGAACTTTGATTTCTTTTATTCAGTCTTGTTTATTTTGTAGTTTCAAAAAATAAAATGTATTGGACTTTTAAACTTGACACATACACACTCTCTTTCACTAAAATGTTTTCTCTTTAGAATTTGTTGAGATGGTACTGAATTAAATGCATAAAGAAGAAAAGGAAATATGAATGATTGATTGAAGATAGGGTTTAACTGCTAGTAAATGCATAGATCTGGAAAGGCACGAAGGTGAACATTTAATTGAAGTTAATATATAGCTGTTTGTTCATTTAGATCTTGAAATAGAGGAAGATGAACAGTTCGTTGAAAGTAATACTAACATATTTGTGATGAAACTGGAAACACAGGCAGATAATGGTTTTGCTGATTGGTTTGTTTTATGTTCTTATTTATAGAACTAGAAAAGCAGGATGATGCAGAGTTTGCTGAAGATCAACATACAGAAGATTTGGGAGAGGAACTTGGTTACCAAGACAATAAGTCTACCTACTCCATGGGAGAGAGTCTAATATGTAATGGTTCTACTGTATCTGTCAATGCTTTATCAGAGTTCAGTCACAAGGCTCAGTTTGGAAGTATGGAGTGGCCCCATGCTCCAGACCCTACCAAAGATTATAGACTTGCCAGTTCTGGATCTGGGTAAGTCTTTTGTGTTATCTTTCTAAGTTACAAAGTTGTATGCTGTTGTAAGTATGAATAAATATGATCCACTTGATGTGATTTGATTATAATAGAATAATGAAGATTGATGTTTAAACTCATCCTGAAGCCTTAGATGATAGTTTTATTTAACTGTTGGTATAACCATAGTTCAGCTTGTAAAATACTAGATTCTGTTTTGTGATCACTTTAAATGTTGTTTAAAAATTCTGATACAGTACCTTTCCTCTTTTCACATAATAGCTTTTCTCAACTTGTGCTGACCGCAATATGCAGAATTTTGCTCACCACTAGCCTTGATGCTCCCACCTGCCCTCGTGATTACATGTGGTATAGTCGTGCTGTATTATACAAATAAGCATGAGATAGCCCTCCACTAATAGGAGTGTGCCTGATTCCCTCTATACTGTATCAATATCATCACTTCTCGATTTAGCAATCGTGTAAAGATATGCATTTTTTCATTTGTGAATTTTTCTGATTTAGGCACTTTTTAGTGGGAGTATGTACAAAGACATTGTTTCACAAAAGTTAGTAACTTGCAATTTGTCTGGTGTGAAACAATACATCTTTGGTTATGCTAGCCTACCAACTACATTCAAATTGGGTTTGTCTGTTGGGAGAGGTAATGGCTTTTTTGCAGTGGGTGGTGGAGTCTTTTATGTGTCTGAACCCTCTTTTGTCCCTGACACATCTCCGCCTATGTTTCTCGTTCGTGACAAATGGGATTTTGTTGATTTTATTTTTTCCCTCTTCCTACCTTTGCCTCATATTATACCCATATTGTCTTGATTATATGTTTTTGTGCTTTTGTGACTAAGTTTCTTAGATATGTTTTTTTTTTTGCATACTCATTTATTTTTATCACTACTTTGGGGCTTACATGCCTTGTTATCTTTCCTTTATTACCCCTTATGACTAGGCATGATTTCATATTGTATTGCTTTTCTTTGAATCTTAAACTCTGGAGTCTTTTCTTCAGACTTGGGGGGTCAGATCGTATGTCTTTTGTTTGCCTTTCTTTGGCTTAGATTTTCCTCCCTTCATCTTACATGCACTACCATTTTCCATTATTTTTCCTTCATCCTACTTTTATTTCCCATCCACCTTTCCCCTGTGGGATTTTTGACAGGTTCTCATTCACTTCTTTTCTATAGTGGTGTGGTTATTTTCCTTGGCATTTTCACTTCTTATTTGTTTGATCTTTTGCTAGAGTTAGTTGGGGCACGATGCCATTGTTATTCAATTGCTTTTGCCTTCCTTATATCTCTTAGGCTTTCTTCTGGCTCATTTCTTCAGCCTGTATGATTTTACTGGTATGCTTTTGTTTCTTATGTTGCAGCTGCATGCCAGTGATTTTGCATTATCCTCACTTCTTTACCATCTTACCTGTGCTACAACTTTGATTCTCTCTGTGTCCTCCTCTCTTTGTCACCACTTCCCATTTGTCTTTCTACTGCTCATAGACTTTGGTATTGTCCATCATTGCAGTGACCATCCTGTAGGCTCAGGATCAGTAAGACTTGTCTTGTTTGATTTATGAACCTTTGCCTTTCAATTCAGGCCAAGTGTTGAGTACTGGGGTTTCTGTCGGAGAGCCTCAACCTTCATTTTTTGCCTTTCATCCTCCAATGTCTCCTGTTCTCATTATTTTACATTCTCCAATGAATTTTTTTTCTTGCCAACATTGATCCATGGCAATGTTGGTCCTAATGGCTGCAATCACTATTGGATGGGTTTCTCATCCTTTTCTAGGATTTCTTCCTATTTTTTGTGCTTCCCAGGGAATCTGTAGATAGGTGTTGAATCTTATATCTTTCATGTCTCATTCAGTCTCATCCACCCTTGTATTCCCATGAGGAATATCTTGTATCTTTCATGTCTCATTCAGTCTCATCCACCCTTGTATTCCCATGAGGAATATCTTGTATCTTTCATGTCTCATTCAGTCTTGTCCACTCTTGTATTCCCATGAGGAATATCTTGTATCTTTCATGTCTCATTCAGTCTCATCCACCCTTTTATTCCCATGAGAAATATCTTGTATCTTTCATGTCTCATTCAGTCTCATCCACCCTTTTATTCCCATGAGGAATATCTTGTATCTTTCATGTCTCATTCAGTCTCATCCACCCTTGTATTCCCATGAGGAATATCTTGTATCTTTCATGTCTCATTCAGTCTTGTCCACTCTTGTATTCCCATGAGGAATATCTTGTATCTTTCATGTCTCATTCAGTCTTGTCCACTCTTGTATTCCCATGAGGAATATCTTGTATCTCTTTTGTGTCTCGTTCAGTCTTATCCACTCTTGTATTCCCACGAGGAATATCTTATATCTCTCTTGTGTCTCGTTCAGTCTCATCCACCCTTCTATTCCCAAGAGGAATTTCTTACTCTGTGGTGGCCTTTTCTCCAGATCTTGGGATGAATGAGGTGGACCTCTAGGATGTTTCTTTTCTCATTTGGCTCTGTTGCAATCAGCCTACTTCAGCCATCATCATCTCCTCCACAGGACATGGCACATCTGGGTTGGTTGGTTCAATTTGGAGGAGCCACATCACACTCCCATTTGTTTTGTTCATATGTCTGCAGCGATAGCCTTCTACTCTTCATTTGAGGGACATGGAGCAGTTGTTATCCCTCCTATATCCTCTCTTTCCGTCACTGTATGGGAGGTTCTTTCTCTTTTGGGGGCTTAAGTTTGTCAGGGATCATCTATCAAGGCCCACCAAAATATTACCTACGGATTGGTCCCTCATTCCTCTGGTGCTCAAATGGCTGTGCTTTCATTTGATCAATATTCTTCTAGATGTTTTTGCCATACTTCCCAATACCCTACTTCTTTTCTGGTACCCTGTTCCTCCTTCCTCAGCCTTAGCTTGGGATGCATTCCATCAAGACTTGTCCAGTTTTTTTTTCTCCATGCCTACCCTTCTACTTATCTTCTTCCTCATGTTTTCTCACATTCTGGACTCTCCATTTTGTGTCCTCCTGATAAATCTGTACTGGCTAGCTCAGCATAGCTTCCTCTATTGCACCTTCTCCTCTCCTCTTCCTTTACCTCTGTCGCTCCCTGTTTCATCCAACAGTGTCATCACTCCGACTTCACCTGTGGTGTTTGTCCAGTACCTTGCAAGATGTTCCATCCTCCTTACATATAACCTCCTCTCTTTCTTTTGGCCATGGTAGATGTGATGTGGATGCCATTGCTGCTTCCCTTATTTTTTCCTTCCATTTCTCCATGTTATTCTCAATCTGTTCTAAATAATTTTTACTGTTCTATTCATGTGATTCGTTGTTCTTTTGAATTCCTCATCTCCCCAAGATATTTCTCCTACTACTGTCAAGGAATGACTATACAACACCTCACCCATTTTGCCTGTGCTTCATTGGATGTAGATTCACATTGACTCTTAGAAGTTTTCCTTCACTAAATCTGACACCTTACTCTCTCATTGGCTCTTCACTTCTGTCATTCATTGGAGGGGTTTATGAAAAATAAGCATTTGTTTCATCTTATGGCAGTTTCTTCTTCTTCCAGATATTGACTTCCTCCTATTGCCATATTACATACCCTTTAACTCTTTCAGCACAGGCTCGGAGTCTGGGATTGACCTTGTAACCATTTTGTGTTTGTTATAGTCTTCGTGCTATAACTTTTAAAGTAGTAAGCATATGAAATTTGGCAGACTATCAGTAAACATTACAATGCTTTCATATGCAAAATATCATTGTTTACTAACACGTAAGGTTTGTAAAGCAATGTTTTTCTCATGCCTTTTTTTTTTTCACATGTTTCCTATAATATCATTGCAAAGTAATTTCCATTTTAAGATTAAAAATACTTTTGTGCATCAGAAAATTTTAAAATTTCACATGCAAAATCTTTATAATATCCAGATAGTTATCAAATGATTCTTAAAAATTTTTATATTTTATGTTATTTCCAGTAATAAATCTCTGTATGGGTATGGTCAGTTTGACCGATCTTGTAACCATTATAAAAAAATTAGGAAATAATATAAATTATACCTTTTTCATTCTAAAATGACTGTGAATTATAACATGAAAACAATGTTTTGACAAAATAGCTTAAATCTCATAACATTATACATTTATATATATTTATAAATTTTATAATATTGATCTTTCAGCCATGCCTGGCTAAGAATACAGAAGTTACAATGATGCAGCTCACGTGCATTCATGTTACTGTATCCAATAATAAAAAACTGACCTTTAGTCTTTACAAAGTAACCTGTCCTGGCTGTGTTTTAGTAGACTAGTATCTTGTAAAATACAGTCACATTTCAATTATTATACATATGAATTATAACATGAAAACATAAATGTTTTGACAAAATAGCTTAAATCTCATAACATTATACATTTATATATATTTATTATTTTTATTATATTGATCTTTCAGCCATGCCTGACTAAGAATACAGAAGTTACAATGATGCAGCTCACATGCATTCATGTTACTGTATCCAATAATAAGAAACTGACCTTTAGTCTTTACAAAGTAACTTGTCTTGGTTGTGTTTTAGTAATTAGTATTTTGTAAAATACAGTCACATTTCAATTATTATACATTATATAAGTATATAGATTATTGCTATTTGGAAATAAGTTCTTAAACTTATTTTTCTTAAAACA